ACTAATTACCTTCAGGCACTCGGTAGCATCGGTAGAGGCTGAACAGCCTTCCCGCTCGCGACATGCTACATCCAGACATTTGTTTCTACCCGTCCAACTTGTAAGAGGCCTTTGGTTTGGGCTAAGCTGAGCGAGGTTGCGCAAAGCTGAGTTAGGATAGAGAGGGTCTCAGGGAATCCAGTTCCGGGGAAAGGCTAGTTAAGTCTGTCATGACGAGGAAGTCCCCTGTCAATGAAAATAACGCTGACTCTAATCCAGTTGCCTCAGCCTTTTTTATTTTAAACTAACCTCTTCTGCGGGGCCCAAAGAAGCGATTTGCCCGATTTTTGTTATTATTTTGCACCGAGACATCTGACCTCGCACCCAGAGTGATCTTCTTGTGTGTATCACCATATTCTGTGTTCTTTTTGTTTTTTGTTCATTCTAATTGCTGAATCACAAAGCTAACTAAGATCTCCAAATTGTTGCTGGGGAGTGCACACCTTTGATCCCAGTGGATCTCTGTGAATTCAAGGCCAGCCTGGTCTACAGAGTGCATTCCAGGACAGACTCAGACTCTGAAGCTACACAGAGAAACCCCGTCTCAAAAAAATAAAATAAATCTCCAAATTGTTTTTTGTTTAATACAGACAAGATTTCTCTTTGTATCTTTGAAGCCTATCCTCCCACTCACTCTGTAGACCAGGATGTCTTGGAACTCCCAGAGATCTGTCTACCTCTGCCTCAGGGCTGCCTCCTGAGAGCTTAGATTAAAGGCGTGTGCCACCTCAGTTGGCTCATGGCAGGTATAGCTTTATAGTGAGGTTTTAAAGCTGACACTATGGCAGTACTTCTCAAAAGTGTTTGTTTAAACCAAGTGTAGATGTTGAGGAGTCCTATGATTCTACTAAAACCCTATCAGGGTTTAATGGAAGAGAGCAGAATTGAAAATTCTTTCTACCTGTTGTCAAGTTATCCCTGTGGGTTTTTGGGGGAAAATCACTTTTGGTTCTAGCACTCTGGGGGCTGTCAGGCCAATCTCTGTGAACCGGAGTCTACAGAGTGAGCTACAGGACAGTCATACAGAGGAAAAAAACCAACCCTGTCTCAACTACCCCCCAACTCAAACTGCAAAGAAAACAATTATACAGTTTACATTTTTCTTTCAGAAGAATTATTAGCCGCTGGATAAAAGAAATGAGGCTTTCACATGATTAAATACATAATACCAATTTATTACATGGCTCACTGAATTATTTAACAAAATACTTTTCTAGGGGCATTAATCTAATTACAGAAATACTGAAATAGGTGAAATACAAAACATTATACATTTCACGATACATTTTAGTTCCCTAGTATTGTTTGGTGCAAAAAAAAATTATGACTTGGCTTTGATGTAGACAATTACCAATACAGTATCATGTTTTTTGTTTTTTAATATGGGTCTTACCACCTTACACTGTGGCCTTTTCCAAAGTGCCAACCCTGCTTGAACAAATACAGATCCATAACTGTATCCAAATCTAGACATTACAAATTAATTTAATACAGTCTGAGCTCCAGAAATGGAAGTGAAAGACAAAACAAGCAAACAGAAAAACACAATTTGCCAATTGGATTGGTTTCAAACTAAAGTTGGACATGTGAGGCAAGGATCTAACAGCCACCTAACTCAGAAACAGACCCCAAGAAAACTTAGGAGACACTGAATTTAAATTAAATCCACTACACTCTGAGCTGTGATTGGTACTGTTGTCCACAATTAGCATGCATGACCTTAAGGTTCTATTCTAGTTCATGAGGAGACCCAAAACATAAAACTAAGAAAACAGGCTGGAGGTATAGGCCATAGAAAGAGCAACAGCCTAACATTTCTGAAGCCCTAAATTCTAACCATAGCACAAAAAAAAAAAAAAAAAAAAAAAAAAAAAAAAAAAAAGAGACGAGACTTCATAGGTAGGCCATATATTTATGTTTTGAGTGGGGAAAAATGGCATTTATTGCTCAAGGACACAACTGAAAAAACTATAGAGTGGTGACATATGCTTGTAATCTCAGTACCAAAAAGGCTGAAGTAGAAGAATGTACATAGAGTTCAAGGATTCCAAGGACAGTATGACTAAACAGGAAACTCATCTCAGAAAGAACTGGTATGGTTTCCCATTCCTAGTAACATCTTTTCCAACATTAGGAAAGGAAATGCTTCAGGTTCTAGAAGACATCTCGAGAACAAACATGGAAGTTTGTGCTGAGCATTTACTATCCCCACTCAGCAAAGTAACCACCGAGAGAGCAGGGCCACAGCCACTTGTTTTGTGATGCTTTAAAGGGAGGAAGTGAAGTTTACAGGACTAATTCCCTTATTTATTCTCTTTAATCTCCCCTGATTTATCATTTCTATTTTTCTGAGATTAAAACACATTTTGGATTGTACAAGAATACTCTCAACTTCCTAGGCAAACAGATTATAGTCCTGATATGCAAGAAATTACAATGATCAGAAGATTTTAATTTTTTAATCGTGCAAGTTTTGGGGGCGTTGTTGTCTTCCCTCCATCCCTCTACTTCACGTGTGCTTCTGGGGACCAACCCAAGGGCCTCACAATGAATAACAGTGATGTTCCAGTAAGGTATACCCCAAAGCCATGGAAGTTTTTCTAAATGTACTTTGAAATGTGTGCACGTGTATGTGTGTGCATACGAGCACGGATATCCACAGAAGCCAGAGGAGTCAGAATAGCTGAAGTTGAAGTTACAGGCAGTTGTGAAGTACCCTACATGAGTTCTGGGAACTGAACATGGGTCCTTAGCAAGAGCACGACTAGTTTCTAACCACTGAGCCATTTCTCCAGCCCAAGAAGTGTTTTGAAATTAGAAATCTTGAGTATCTCTTAACTATGGGTGTAATGAGTTAGCAGATGGCTGGCTCAGAAGGTCCGTCCAGTGTTCTGTTTACAATAGACCAGACAATGACACAGACTCAGGAAGAATGAATCCAAGATAAGTAATGTACATCAGCAACAATTCTTGAAGAACATAGTATTCTATGAAAGTACTGACAAAGTTGATTAAAAAAAAAATATTGTGATGGTATAGTCATAACAAATGGCCAAGCAGGACCATTCTAGGACTCTCAGCCCATGCCTGTCCTGCAAACACTGGAAGTAGTGGTTGTGTATGGCAATGACATAGATGGAATGTAAAGCTGGACAGAGTCCTGGTGCTGGCTTTCGGACAGATTCCATGACCTTTCTGTCTACAAATGAGGACAAATCTCAAAAGCAGCTTGAAGAAAATCTTTGTTTTTGTTTCTAGTCCACAAACTTAGAAAGTTGAACAGGCTGAGAGGCTGGCAAAGTGTGGGAGGAGCCAGAGCAAGCCACAGTGGGCCATTTCCTAATCCCGCATGGGACACAGACAGAAATTCCAAATACTACTCAGAACCCAATCATTCGGAGCTCTGAACATAATTAGACAAAGTCTGTAGGAAGCCAGAGGGATCTCCAACCAATGTCCACAAGCTTGTGCCCTGCTGTGTGTCAGCAGCTTCTGTGTGACAGCCAGATTCTTGAGTAGACAGGCCTGATGTACAGCTTAATCCACCATCCATCATCTGCCCTCCATTTGGGTCTTTATTTTGGGGAAAGCAAAGAGGAAGGACTAGGAATCTAGCCAAAGTCAAATGAGAAAACCCTTCACAGTGAAGGTGACTTTACCAAGCACAGGGGAGGAGACACACCTAGCCTGTGTCCAGAACACACATCAGCTTCTTTTAAAATGTGGCTCATAGATTAAAAGGCCTCATTTTGATTCATCATCATAGCAACTTTTTCAAGTAAATAAAACTTAGACATAATTATTGCTGGGTTTTTTTTCCTACCTCAATCTATTCCTTTGAGGGGCTTTTTCATATTTTCCAGACAAGAAGCCAACTTGGAAGCCAGTGAACTACCATGGGCCTGGAAGATGTACTACAGCAGGGAGAGATGAGACTTAGAACTACACGTGCCAGTGACCACCGCTCGTAAGTCCTAGAGTCTTAAAATTGGCTGGTCATGGGTTACACTGCACATCAGAGCCCACAAAAGGGTGAAGAAGGTAGAATCTTGGCATTGTGTCCCCAAGCCCCACTGTGGCCCTCCACTGCTCAGGCACCTTGAGCTCTGAAAGCAGTGACCCTGGAGGACGGAAAAGCTCTGGGTACCTGGTGGCCCAGTAAGTGCCTGCCATACATGACCCCTGGGAAGAGCCAGCCGTTTGTGCAGACCTCGATTCACCTTACATGCAGACACTCCAGAAGCTTCCACAGGCACTTGCTTTGTAAAAAAGCAGTGTCTCTTTAGATGCAGCATAATCTGCAGACACTCAAATGCTCTGCTAAACATCCCTGTCACCCACCCCAGGGGGTCACCGATGCCATGTGCAACAGCCTGCTTCACATGCACCATACCCAAGATGAAGACGAATTCCAGGATACCTGTTGTAATTAGAGATTTGTCCCTAACTTCTCAGAGTTGGCAAAATCACCACATGAGTAGCAGGAACTTGGGTAGTTCAGTGTAGCACAGACCAAAAAGGAAAGACTTTTCCTTCACCCAAGCACTGTCCCTCTGTAGAGGGAGACACGTGTTTGTTCTGTCTGCTACTCTGGTTTCCCAGGGTTTTGTGGCTCTATGCTAGAGCCATTGGCATCTAGGTTTCATAGACTGTCAGGAACCAGGAAGCTTCAGTGCCTGTGGTGGTGGTGGGCACAGGAAAGTTGAGATCTCCTGGATGGCATCAGGCAGACAGCAACTCATGTTGCTCCTAGAACCTGTGCTTATTCCACAGCTGGCCCCGCCCAGTCATTGGCCCAATTGCAGCCTGCGCAGTGTGCCAGGGTAGCTGCAGGCCATTTGCTTCCTCCTGCAGGGTTTTGTCAGGCAGAAGCCAATCCGAAAATTCCCCATGTGATATCCAGTGAGGAGCAAGAGCCCGCACAGTCTGCTTCTCCATTCTACCACACAGTACAGGAGGACAGTCTGGCCTGGTTCCCAGGGGACACAGTATCGCAAGGAGCTCAGTGGTGCTGTCTAGATTCCTGGGGGACCAGTGGCTCTGTGTCATCCTCTAGGCCCCGGGTAGTGGCTGTGGCCAGACTCTGCATGGTCTCTTGCTGATACTGCCTGGCCTTGTTGTAGAGTAAGACACCCACTGTGACAAGGACGGTGCCGATGGCAGACAGGCTGGTGATTTTGTTGCCAAAGACGATGATGCTGAGCCAGACAGACAAGGCATGCTTCACAGTGCTGGCGACACTACAGCAACAGAGCAGAGCATACAGTCAGCCCTGGGTCACACCCACAGAGTACAGCCCTGGATCACACCCACAGAGAGTTCACACCAACACAGAGTACAGCTCTGGGTCACACCCACAGAGTGCAGCCCTGGGTCACACCCACACAGTACAGCTCTGGGTCACACCTACACAGAGTACAGCTGGGGTTCACACCCACACAGTACAGCTTTGGTTCACACCCAGAGTACAGCTCTGGTTCACACCCACACAGAGCGCAGCTCTGGTTCACACCCACACAGAGTGCAGCCTGCTTTTGGCAGTGACTAACCAGTGTCCTGCTGCTGTGCTGTCCCTCCAGGGTCTGGGCCCCATGGGCACATGGATGAGGTGTCTAGCACAGAGGGGTTAGGAGGCTTAGGGGGTTTGCCTGCAACTTGGTTATTTTATTTCTCAGGTTTATTCTTTTTAGTGAAAAAAAAAAAATCTCAAAGCGGGGGCTAAAGAAATGATTCAATAGTAAGAGCAGTGGCTTCTCTTCCAGAGATCCTGGGTTTGGTTTCCAGCACCCAGCTGGTGGCTCACAACTGTCTCTAACTCCAATCCTAGGGAATCCAATGCCCCTCTTCTGGCTCTAAGCATGCAAATGATGTACACACAGACATGCAGACCAAACGCCCATACATATTACACAAATAAACTTTAAAGAAAAACCTCAAGCAGAAAAGTAGAGAAACACTGTGAATATCCTACCACCTGGACTTGATGAGTGGCATTTTGTCACATTTTGAGTAAGTTTTCTTCCCTCCCTCCCTCCTTTCCTTCCTTCTTTACTTGCTTCCTAGCCAAGGCCAACATCTAACTCTCTGAATAGATGAGGCTGGTTTTGAACTACCAATCCAACCACTGCCTCCTAAGTACTGAGATTATAAGTGTGCGCTATCATACCCAGTTTGGCCTTAGTTGTTTTTCCCTTTTTAAAAACATTATTATTCACTTTCTGTGTGAGTGTTTTGCCTGCATGTCTGTATATGTACCACATGCATGCTTGATGCACACAGAAGACAGAAGAGGGCATTAGCTCCCCTGGAAATGGAGTTATGGATGACTGTGAATCACCATGTGGGTGCTGGGAATCAAATCCAGGTCTTCTTCAAGAGAAACAGTGCCCAGTGTTCTTACCCTCTAAGCCATCTCTCCAGCCCCTTGTCGTAGTGTTCTGAGATACCCTAGGCTGGCCTTGAGCCTGCAGTGTTCCTCCTGCATTAGCCTCCTGAATGCTGGAATTATGTAAGTGTGCTACGATGCCTCTCTCATTATTTATTTGAACTAAAATGTTTATTTTACTCAGTGTGTATGTATCTGAGTATACGTATATGTATCATGTATGTGCAGTGCCCACATAGGTCAGAAGAGGTGTTGGATCCCCTGGAACTAGAGTTACACAAGGTTGTGAACTGCCATGTAGGTGCTCTGAACTGAACCCTGGTCCTCTTTAAGAGCCAGTAAGCACTCTTAACTACTGAGCCAATTTCCAGCTTGTGGACTGAAATATTTTAAAGTCAAGTGGAGATGCTGTGGTGTGTGTGTTTTGGAGGTGTGGGGAGGGACAGTTCTCACCATGGCTCCTGCTCTTGCCGCAGGCTTCTGAGCACTATATCACCATTGCCAGCAACACTGTGACATTTGCCCCTAAATACTTCAGCTTGCTCTCTATTAATAGAATAAGGCAAACATCATGTGTATTGCCACGAATCTTTACAGAACTGATGGAAAAAACAACTCTAAGATGCTATAGTTTGTTAAGTGAAATCGACCCCCACACACATTAGGACCCAGGAGAATGCCTGTTGGGTGAGGATTATGAATAACTTAATTTTTACACTTTCAAACTTTCTATGATGAGAACAATTGGCTCTATGGGTCAGGCACACCTGGAGTAAATCAACCATAGACAGAAATATTTGGGAAGAAGTTGAGCCTATATTGAATGTGTACGACTTCTCTCCTCTGTTATTACTCCCTAAAAGTATGGTACGATACTTATTTATATAACACACGTCGTTTTGTTAGTCCTAAGTGGTTCAAAGATGACTTAGAAAATGAATGTAGTTTCTATGCAAATGCCTTGCCATTTTACATAAGGAATTTAAGACCCGTGGATTTTGAATCAGGTATGGTAGTACATGGGTATGATCCCAGCATTTGGAAGGTAGAGGCAGGAGGATAAGGAGGTCAAGGTTTCCTTGGCTATATAGTGAATTCCAGGCCAGCCTGGGCTCTATATAAGACCATCTCAAAAAGAAAAAATAATCTATGAATTTTGGTATTAGTGAGTGGTTGTAGAACCAGTTTCCCTCCGATACTAAGGGTCATGTACTTATTTGTTACTTTCACAACAAAAATAAAACAAATCTCAGGCCTTTAATGCCAGCACTTGGGAGGCAGAGGCAGGAGGAAGGAGGATCTCTGAGTTCAAGGCCAGCCTGGTCTACACTGATAATCAGGTGTGGGGGGGGGGGGAGTAAACCGATTACAATTAACCAGAGAAAGAACTCCTTTGCCACAGCACTCCCACATTTAGGGCTCAGCAACAACACGTGGGCACCAGCCCCTGTCTGGGACACCACAAACAGAACATCCCGTTATCTAGACAACTCTGTTCTTTATAGAAAAATTACCAAATGATCTCAGAAAAATTTCTGCAACAAAGATTTCTAGGAAAAAGTTCCCTGAAAAATCTGTCATAGAGTGACAGTACCAAATACCAAAGGAACCATAATGTGACACCAACTATCACTATGGAAGAGAACCTTAAACCTGTTCCGTATCTCCTGGAAAAATGCTCCACTCACCTGAAAGTCACAGGAGAGATCTTTCCCATGAGGGCATATGCAGTGACACTCTGAAGGTGAAACAAGGCGCCATCTGTCAGCAGCAGCAGCACAATGTCCTGGCTGTAGCTGAAGCTCTTCCCACTCCTGCCAATCACAGGGACATCCTATGGCCAAAGGAAAAGGACATTCTTCTGGCTTCTGTCTCCCTGCTGTGTCTGGCCTGTCATCGCTGCTGAGAAGATATGAATCACTGGGGCCCAGTAACTGAGAAGCAGTAACATTTAGAGCTCTGAACGCCTCTTTGCTAGACAATGCTGTACCACATTTATCAAGCCAGCACAGGCTAGGCAGTGCTATATGCCTATAATCCCAGCATTTAGGAGGTAGAAACAGGAGGAGCTGGACATGAGATAAACAGCAAACCCAGGCCAACCTGGGTTACTTGAGACCTTATCTCAAAGTGGTTGGGGGTAGGGTGGGATTGGGGAAATGCCTCAGTAAGTAAAGCACTTGGAACACAACATAAAAACTCAAGTTCAGATCCCCAGAACATACATGTACAGCTAAACATGGTAGTACATGTCTGTAACCCCAGTGTTCCTATTATAAGATGGGAGGCAGAGACAAGCGAATTCTCAGGAACTTGCAAGACAGCTAACTTGGCTTGCAGATAAGGTGGAAAGCAAGGGGAGGTGGAGGTGGCTTCAGGTCTGCAATTCTAACACTTGGAAAACTGAGGCAAGAGGACTGTGGCCGCCAGCAGTTCAAAGTCAGGGTGGGCTGCATTGTGAGTTCTAGGCCAGCCTGAGCTACAAAGTCAGAGATCCTTAAAGAAAGAAAGGAAGGAAGGAAGGAAGGAAGGAAGGAAGGAAGGAAGGAAAGAAGGAAGGAAGGAAGGAAGAGACAAAAGCCCTCATTGGAAAGGATCATAAGAAACCGGAACTCTCCTGAAGGCATCATCTCCCTGTGGAGCGTGTGTGTGTGTGTGTGTGTGTGGGGGGGGGTAATGGGATAGGAGGGGGGACATGGGAGGAACTGGGAAAGAAACTGGAACTCCTATGTATGTACTGTTAGTGGAAACATAAACTGTCTCAGCAGACCATTCCAGTTCCAAGACTATATTACAAAGACATATCTCTATTTGCAAAGAGTGTTGATTTCATTACCATGTGTGGAACTGTGGGGCACGGTAAAGCTATGACCCACAGCATGATCACTATAGACTTCCCAGTGTGACATGTTTTAAGGGAAAAGGTTTGCACAGATACACACTTCCTTAAGCTGAGGGATTCCAGGAAATGTGTTAGGAGTATATCTGTACCCACAAGCTCACTACTTGGCAACTTAGAGAAAGGGGCTAAAGGTGGGAGAGCCTCTCAGTTTGGTTTGAAATATAAAACTGTTGACTTAGTTGGGTGTGGGGACGCATTTCTTTAATACTAGCACTCAAGAAGCTGAGGCAGTAGCTGGGCATTGGTGACGTACACCTCTAATCCCAGCACTTGGGAGGCAGAAGCAGGTGGATCTCTGTGAGTTCCAGGCCAGCCTGGTCTACAGAGCAAGTTCCAAGACAGGCTCCAAAGCAATTCTTGGAAAAAAGAAGCTGAGGCAGGCATATCTATGTAAGTGTGAGGCTAACCTGGGCTACATAGCAAGTTTCAGGCCAGTCAGGGCTATTTAATGAGACCCTGTCTCATAACAACAGCTAAAAACTGTATTGAACATTCTATAGCGGGCAAATGCCATCTCCATAATAAAAGATAAATTAAGCAAGCATAAAAGCCCTAACACAAAACTAAAATGTAGCCACCCACCCTTCCTCTCCTGACAGTCAAAGGGAAGAGAAGCCCCAGTGTGGGTCCCAGCTGCAAACCCACCATGAAGAAGGTCCATGCTGGGATCAGCAAGGCTACGGCAGCAGCACTGGTATAGAATTGTAGCTCCGGGGCCCTGAAGTGACAGGAAATATGTCATCTCCCCAAGTCCAGCCTTCCACCCACACATTTTCAGCAAAGAAAACTCTAAAGAATCAGCAACTTAGAAATGTGTCTCCCACAATGACAAGGATGAACGGGTCCCCATGACCTCAGCTGGCTGTTTCGTAGTCTGAGAAGTAAGCTGGGAAACGAAGCCACTCAAACCAAGTGAGTTCAGCTCTCAGGGCTCATTCGGAGCTGTAAAATGACCAAAGTTCTGCTGGGCCTCATGAAATGATAGTCAATGCTGGATGGTAGTTGTATACCTTTGACCCCAGCCCTTGTGAGACAGGAAGGAGGATCTTTGCCTGGTCTACACAGAGAGTGCTAGGACAGCCAGGATCACGGAGATGTTGTCTTACCCCTACCTACTCACCCCACCCCCCCCCCACCATTACTGCCAAAAGTAGAAACCATAAACCCTCTTCCTTGAGATACTCACGAGAACCTGTACTTGTCCCCACTGAGAAGCTTTTTCGAAAAAACATTCTGCAAACTAGAACAAAGAGAAGACGTTAAACATTTAAGTCAGTTAGTGAGTGAATGAGGTAATGATGATGGTGGCTGCAAAGGTGAACGGCCTCAGGCACTGACACGCCTGAGGCCAGCCCTGTGCCAGCTGTGTCCAGTCTTCATCTCACGGAGAAGAACAACTGTGCCTACTGTCCCTACAGACAGGTAAACAGAGGCTCAATGGCCTGCCATCTCAAACACCACAGGGCCACGATGGTTTGGCTCTGCATGCTTTGAACAACCCAACACAGAAGTAGAGGCCGGAAGATTAGGAGTCAAAAGTCATCTTCAGATACATGAGTTCAAAGACAGCCTGGGCTATATGGAAGCCTGTCTCAAAACCCCCCAAAAAAGGCTGGAGAGATGGCTCAGTGATTAGGAACACTTGTTCTTACAAAGAGGATACAGGTTTGGTTCATAGAACTGACATGGTGGCTCACAAACTTCCATAACTCAAGGGCCAGGGAATGCACCATACTCTTCTGACCTCCATGGCCTCTGAAGGTCTCAGGTACACATGCCACACATATGCACATGCAGGCAAAATACTCATACATATATAATAAAGATGCATCTAAAGTGGTGGTGCCTCTGAAGGTCTCAGGCACATGTGATACACATACACACATATAAAGGTAACATACATGTATAATGAAGGGTTTCAGGTATACATGACACATATACACACATGCAGGCAACACTTAAACATCTATAATAAAGATAAATATAGAGGGTGCTGGTGCCTCTGAAGGTCTCAGGTATACATGACACAAATACATACATGCAGGCAAAAACACTCATACATATATAATAAAGATAAATCTAGCTGGGTGGTGGTGGCACATTCCTTTAATTCCAGTACTTGGGAGGAAGAGGCAGGCAGATCTGAGTTCAAGGCCAGTCTGAGTTCCTGGGCAATTGGGTCTAAATAGAGAAACCTGTCTCAAAAAAACAAATGCAAAAAGCAAACAGAAAATTAAATCTAAACCAGGAGTTGTGGCATATACCTTCGATCCCAGCACCCAGGAAGTAGAGACAGGCGGGCCTCTGTCAGTTCAAGGATAACCAGAACTAAGTAGAGACCCTGTCTCAAAAAAAAAAAAAAAAAAAAAAAAAAAAAAAAAAAAAAATCTAAACTAACCCAAATAAGCAAACAAACAAAACCAAAATAAATAACTCAATGGGGATAAAGTTCCCACAAATTCAGTAGCCTTAGGGTCCAGGCAAATGAAGGCTCCCATGACATGTGTATGGATGAATAAAACTATTCATGCATGCAAAAACCCTAGTGTGGAAAAAAATCAGATTTTAAAGCCAGAACTTATGAAGAGAGACAACCTAGGGAGAACATACAAATAGCCAGTGGGAAAATAAAACAATTCTGGCTTCAAAAATGACCTCAGAGACCAAAACCTGACCCAATAGAACTGTTAATGTTCAGGCATCTGTACTGGCCTGCCCTTAGGGTCCTGATGGGATTCGTCCTCAGCTGCAGCCACTAAGAGCACCCCCGTGCACATTCCCTACAGTTCCTTTTAAAAGGTGAGCCTCAACAGGTAGTAGTGGTGCATTCACTTACATGCAACATTCCTAATTGTAAGGCCAGCTGTTTTCTTCAGCAGTAACAGTAATAACAAACTTATAGATACTTATAGTAGCTGTTTACTCTCTCTCTAAAAAAGCTAGACATGGTAGCACATGCCTTCAATTCCAGCACTTAAGGAGATAGAAGCAGGTGAATCTCTGTGAGTTCAAGGCCAGCCCAGCCTACATAATGAGTTTCAGGACAGTCAGGGCTACATAAAGAGGCCCTGTCTCAAAAACGAAAATAGTTAATACTTTAATGTGATTAGTAGTTCTGAAAGAATAGTTTTTTTGGGGTGTTCTTCAGTGACAGCATAGATGGAAATTACCTATTAGATGCAGTGACTAGCCACATACAGTGGCTAAAAACTGTCATCTCAACACTCAGGAGGTTGAGGCAGGAGGATTACAAGTTCAAGGATACCCTAGATTATATAGTGAGGGAAAAAACAACAATAAAAAGAAAAAGGACTGGAATACAACATCTGTCCCTCAGCAGACAGTGTGACTAACAATGTCCAATCCAACATTTTTCCCCAAGGTCTTTGCCAAATGACCAGCATTTGCCTGAGAGACACCAGGATACAGATAGTTCCTCAGCCTGGAAGAGATAAAAAACGACCCAGTAGCCTGGCTGATAGATCGCTTTATCGATGGTCTTTGGCTCCTTCCTTGGTTTTATTTAGCTTGACCATGTGACATGATTAAGCTTGTATTTTTCATCAGACAACAACATTCTTCTTAGAATTAGCATATTAATTACCAGGTTATCCTACAGTTTAACACACATACACACACACACACAGAAGAAGTGGGGGAGCAGGGCACACACGTATGTGAGTGTTCGCATGAATGCCATGGTACATATGTGAAGGTAAAAAGACCTCACTGTGGTTTGATGTTGTTATTTAAGACATCACTCTATATCCCTGAGTGGCCTGTAGCTCACAGCAATTCCCCTGCTTCTGCTGAGGTTACAGGCTGTGTGCTGCCATACTGATTATCACAATTACCCTGACTCTGTAACCACATCCCTCTAGGCAGTATGTTAAGAATCAGGACTACACATCATCAAATTCCTGCTTGTATTTTTTGAGAAAAGGCAGGACAGGGGAGGCTGGCTTGGAGTCATAGAAGTGAGGCTGATAGCTTGGGAGTTGAAAACCCGTGGACTCTGATGAAGCAAAACAAGCACTTCTTAAGCAAGCCCTCCTTCATCATTTCCCCTTGTGATCTTAACTCACCAATCCATAATGTTAGTGGATAATGCAGCTGAAACCCCCAGGATGTTGAAGCTTATCTCAGTGGCAGTGCACAATGCTAGTCCTCCCATGACTGGGATAAGGGACAGGTTGACCAACAGCCCTGGCAAAACAAAACAGGAGTGTGCGTAAGTGTGGGTGCACACAGGCCGGCACACATGTGCAGGTCAGAGGATAACCTGAAGGAGTCAGTTCCCTCCTTCTACCATTAGGTCCTAGGCATTGAACTCAGTTTGTCACCGTCAGCAACAGGCTCCTTTATCCACTGCTGGCTCCTCCAGTTTATTTCTTTTGGAAAACAACCACCACCAAAAACCAACCAACCAACCACACAAACAAACAAGCCAGGTGTGGTGGCACACACCTTTGATCTCAGCATTTGAGAGGCAGAGGCAGGCAGATATGAGTTTGAGGCGAGTCTGATCTATAGATCGAATTCCAGGACAGCCAGGTCTACACAAAGAAACTCTATCACAAAACAAAACAAAACACCACTATACAATAGATTAAAACACCCATTCCGGGGCTGGAGCCATGGCTCAGCATTGGAGAATACTTGCTGATCGATCTTCTGGAGGACCCCAGTTTAGTTCTTAGAACTTATTTTGAGCTGATCACTGCCTGTGACTAAGTAACAGGGAATCTGATAATTTCCTTTGGCCTCTGCAGACACACACACACACACACACACACACACACACACACACACACACACACACACAAAAAAAAAAAAAAAAAAAAAAAAAAAAAACTTAAAACAATCTGTTGCTGTAATGTAAATCACATTTCCCACCTATTATTAATTTTTGGAAATGATAGCAGGTACTATCCAGAACCTTTTAAATTTTATACAGAGGACTTAGTTCATTAGTCAAAGAAAACAAAGACATGTGCCCTTTATGTTCATCAAAAGTAACAGTCATGGTCCTATGATCAGTTCAGCTGAATTTCTCATGCCATGACAGACTGGTAAGGCTCAGTGCAAGGACTTGAACTCTAGGAAATAATCAAGAAACTGAATGATCCCTGAGCCCAGAAGACCAAGCTCAGGAAAGGATACTTAGGTCCATCTTGAGAAAATCTTACCAGACAAGCTCTTTCTTGGCTTGCTATGGTTGGTCTTATCCTCTGTCTCTTGGGTAATTTTCATTTAAATGGTGCACAACATGTATAAAATTCCAGAGAGAACTAGATATCTGCCACTTTACCTGACTTTGCTTCTGGGCAACTATGGCATAGCTAACACCTCTGTCCAACACAGGTTTCACAAGAGTCAGGATCCCAGCTCTAAGTCCGGCATATTTTTCAGACTATTCCTGGGTCTGACTTTCATCCCAGGCCACTAAGATTCTCAGCAACCACACAATGATCAAATGCCTCTTGGGGAGATAGTGATACATAACCAGGCTACTGATTGTGTTATGTATGTATGTATGTATGTATGTATGTATGTATGTATGTACATATATATATATATTTTTACTGATAGATATGCGTATGTATCTTCTATGTGCATGTATGCCACTTGTGTGCAGGTGTGCAACAGTCAGAAGAGAGAGTTGGATTCCTGGAGTTGGAGTTGCAGGCAGTTGTGAGCCTCGATATGGATCCTGAGAACAAAACTCAGGTCCTCTAGAAGAGCAGCAAGTGCTCTTAACCAATGAGCCATCTTTCTAGCCCAAACATGCTGATTTTTAAAAGGCTGGTAGGAGAGAGGCACTGGAGAGAGAACTTGGGGGTCAGAGCATTGGTTGCTCTTGCAGAGGACCTGAGTTTGATTCCTTGCACCCACATGGTAGCTCACAACCATATGTACGTCCAACTTCAGAAAGCTCTTGGGTACCAGGCACCAGACATGCAAGTAGTGCACGCACATACATGTAAAGAAAATGCTCATAAAATTTAAAAAGAAAAGTTCATAGGGTATGGGTCTCACCTGCTAAGGAGATAAGCAGAAACGGTTATGCATTATTAAAAGTAAATCTGACTTCCTAAGGAGGATGGAGAAACAGTTGCCACAAAGCAAGCCGGGCAGTGGTGGCGCACACCTTTGATTCATTCCAGCACTTGGGAGGCAGAGGAAGGTGAATCTCTGAGTTTGAGGCCAGCCTGGTCTACAGAGGGAATTCGAGGACAGCCAGGGCTGTTACACAGAGAAACCCTGTCTCAAAAAACTCAAGAAAGAGTCACAAAGCAGCCTGAGGAAGTCACTTGACTGTCCCTAAAGAGGGAGCCCTTACCACTGAATATGGGCTTTGCTTCATTATCTCTGAATCAAGGATCAGCCCTTGGAGTTGCATGCCTGATGTTCATTTTCCAGGGTCCACTCAACTCCCCACCCACCTGGTACGTACCAAGAGGTGCGTACCATCCTCCTCTGACCCCCTCATTCTCCCACAAGAACAAGCCCCAGCGTATCACAAGCTCGATGAAGCATGTGATCAAAGGACTGCAGGAGACTACATGTGACTGCCAAGAAAACTTTCAAGAAGCAAAAGCAAGTGGCCCAGCACTGGCTGGTTGCAGGTCTGACACTGCTCACTGCCCATCAAGACCCAGCACATAATGGGCAGCAGGTGACGCTACAGGTGGAAAAGGAGGATGCTGAGGCCCGGCCCAGGCAAACGGGCAGAACCCGGAGAGTCCCCTACCTGTGTACTCGCCCAGAATCATCCGAGACATGATCACAGTGAAAATGGGAGCCGAGCTCTTCACAGTCTCAGCAAAGGAAACGGCCACATTTTTCAGGCTGACCAGCCCCAAAACCACCGTTGCAAACCTCAAAACAAGAAAAGAGCAATGTGAGAAGGGACCTGACCTGTCTGCTCATGAAACACAGACTCCAAGTGCTTAGTCATGACCAGTGGGCACATCTGGTCCCTCTTCCCAACAGGTAACGCCATTGGACTCAAGGATGGCAAACACCTTCCAACCACTACTGAATTATGTTTTTTGAGTTTTTGTTTGTTTGTTTGTTTGTTTGTTTGTTTTTGCAGACAGGATCTCACTATGTAGCTCTGGCTGTCATAGAACTCACTATGCAGACCAGACCAGACTGGCTTCAAATTCACAGAGATCCACCTGCCTCTGTCTCCCAGGTGCTAGGATCAAAGGTGTGTGCTACACCCAGCTGAATTACTTTTTATGGCTGCCTTATAAAAGAATCTGAGAGATTAAAGGCCACAGAACTGGAGCCTAACTGCTGGATGTCCCACAACTGGATGGCCCCTCTATGCCTGCATCCTGTGCCCTAACACACTGAAGCATTAATTGCCCACGTCCCCAATAGGGTTTCCACACTTAAAGACTAAAGAGGCTTTTTTGGTTTGGGTTTTTGTTTTTCAAGACAGGGTTTCTCTGTATCTCTGGCTGTCCTGGAGCTCTCTTTGTAGACCAAGCTAGTCTCAAACTCACACAGACCTATCTGCTTCTGCCTCCTGAGTGCTGGGACTGAAGGCATTCACCACCACACCTGGATTAAAAGGGTATTTTATATCTAAAATAATAATAATAATTAAGACAATAATCACATTTTTACCTCATGAGGCCCACAAAGAGCATAGTCATGATGAAATTGGGTGGGTAAGAGAGCCGGGTTTTGTGTTGATATAAACAGCAAGGAACAAATATTTTAACACATCCAATTAATGTTGTTGACAGCATCTGCACAGCACCTGGGAAGGGAGGCATGAGGCTGCTCTAAGAACATTCCTTTCCCACACGTGAGCATCAAACACCACCCTTCATTCCAGACACATCTGGGTAAGTCCCTTTAGCCATTTCCCTCCCTCCTGGTGGTCGCTGACCACTGAGAACTGGGGCTATAGGAGTGCACACTGTATAAGGTGACATTACCTAACATGCTGGGCTCTCCCTCTAACAGGGACAGGATGTACTTGTTGAGGAACAGTGTACAGAAGCTGAAGAAGAACCACAGCGTGAGGTAGATGAGAGCCCTTGAGCTCCACACACCCAAGTCCGACTCAATGACAGTAGTCTCAGTGATGGTGACGGTGAGCAGGCTCTCCTCTGGGCTGCCGTCACCTTTGGTAAAGACGATCTTCTCACTGCGGTGACCAAAAAGGGGGCCCCAGGTGAAAAGTGCTTTCCCTTTCAGTTCTTCCTGGCAGGCAGGCACCGTCTCCTCCGGTGCTTGGGCTTTTGCTGATGACATGCTGAGGACACTTTTGAGGGGTAAATCTCGGGGACGGACCACATGGATCAAAGTGACGGCCCAGGCAAGGGGACACCGGTGGTAGAGGAGGCAGGAGTCCCGGTCTGCATGAATGTGGGTCCCAACATGCCTGTCTCCAACAAAGTGAGGGAGCAAAGGCTAAAATTAAGAAAAGAAGCCACATTACTAATTCTGAACATCTCATATTCTTTTGTAATCTTCTGTGTACGATGCAGGTGTACACCTGAGTGTGTTAAGTGAAGACACGTATGTGGAGGTCAGAGGACAAGCTTGGTCCTGACTTCCACCTGGTTTGCTATCCACTATGTGAGCTAGCTGTTCACAAGCTCCCACGGGTCCCCCTGCCTCTATTTCCTACCATGCCTTCCAAAGATTCTCCTTTCTACCTTGACACAGAAGGGATTATAGTTGCCAGGCCCTGGGGACCCCACTGAACTCAGAAGGAAGGTACCAAGCTCAGGCAGCCCTCTTCCTCTTCCCACTCTGGTTCTTCATGACTGGCTCAGCTCAGCCCAGGCCTGGAGCTGCCTCTGCTCCCGGGCCTTTAATGACATTGTTTGCACCTTCAGAGGCCAGGAGACACCTGAGAATGGAAGGTGCTCACTGTTCCTCCTCAACTTTTCATGCCTGGCTGCTTCTTCTCCACACCTCCCACAGTACCCTGGTACTTTATCCAGACCTTCCATCTGTTCCTAACTGGAGGGCTGATTCACCACACCGAGTTCTTAATTCATCAGAGACCTATTTGTTTCTATTTCAAATTGGCCTGTTCTCATCCGTCCTTTCAATTCCTCTCTCACATCCTTTACAGTCTCTGGTGGTTCATCAGCCATAGATCGTGGCTACCCAGGCCCATTTTCTTCTTGGTGGATGGATGGGCATGTCATACCCCACCTCCACCTGATATCCTGGCTTACGGTTTGCCATGGGCCCGGGACCAATTTCTTCTACTTTCCAGGCAAACACTGCTGTGATGGCATCAGTTTAAAGCTTGGCCTGAGGATGACCAGACCTGTGCTACAATGTCTACAATGAGATGTCTGTCTACTGCTCTTAAAGCCTCAGGCAGAGCCAAACCATCCTGTTTGACCTTCTCAATTTCATGAGGACCAAGATCACTTCCTTTACATCCAGACAGGGTATGTAGGTCTTTGGCAGAGTGTTTGCGTACCAGGCCCAAGGCCTAAGGTTTGAACCTCAGCACTCAAACAAACAATAAAAATGAAGAACAACAACCAAAACACCACCACCAAATAAGTTTGAAAAGGCTGTCGCTTGGACTTCCTGGCTTCTGCTTCTATGGTTTGGAGCACTGGCTCCTCTCCCACAGAACCTAGTCTAATTCCTAGTGCCCACACGGCAGCTGACAACCACTTTTTAGAAAGGCATCTCTTCCCTACCCTTCCTCTTCTTTTTATGTGTAAGAGTGCTTTATAAGCCAGGCACTGGCGGGGCACGCCTTTAGTCCCAGCACTCGGGAGGCAAAGGCAGGAAGGTCTCTGTGAGTTCAAGGCCAGCCTGGTCTACAGGACTAGTTCCAGGACAGGCTCCAAAGCTACACAGAGAAATCCTGTCCCGAAAAACCAACAAAACAAAAAAGTGCTTTGTTTGCCTGCACGTTTGTGCACCATGTGTGGACCTGATGCCTGCAGAGGTCAGGAGAGTGTGTGATCACCTAGAACTGAAGTTACAGAGGGCTGTGAGCCACCATGTGGGTGATGGGAACCAAACTCAGGACCTTTGCAAGAGTGTTCTTAACCACCAATCCTGGTATTCCCACAGTGGAACAGAGAACTGACTCCTGAAAACAGGCAAGTCATAGGAATAGAGACTAACCTTCCCCATGTAAGCATTTCTTGACTGTACCAAGCAGTAGAAACTCCTACCACCAACTAGATTCAAATGAAGACGCAGGATCTGTAAGCAGCAGATGGAAAGAAGGGGCCCAATATCCTCAGCAAAGAGAACCTCAAAGAAAGTCCAAGCTTCAGATCATGTTTCATTCCCTTTGATGACTCAAGGGCAGTCAAGCAAGGAGCCACCGAGAGGAGCCGCCTCCACAGAGACATGGATGGACTTTGCTCACTCCATTGATCAGAGAACTATCTGACAGTGCAAATGCAAAACATAGCTGTTTAGACATGACCTTTCAAGAGTCAGTGTAAGTAGGAATGGTGGTGCAAGTCTGTAATCCCAGCACTGGAGAGGCTAGCAGGAGCCAACAAAAACCCATGAGCTTCACCAGACAGCTACTTTCTAATTTTTAAAATTATAATTGTTTACATAGTTTTGTGTGTAAGGTTCAGATATGTATAGCATGTCTGTGGAAGTCAAGGGAGTTGGTTTTCATCTTCTACTACGTAGACCTAAGGGATCAAACTGAGTTTGAGGGTGAGTGTCCTAGTTTGAACAGAACCCACACAGACTGAGACCTGGGCAGCTGGGCATGCAGAAGATGAAGAGGGTGCCACTAAAATACAGGTCTGACCTGTGCCTTATGCTTAGCTTTTGAAAGCCTATTTATCACCGTGGACCTGAATGAGACAGTTGTTTATTTAATTTCCTTGCACAACTGCAAATTCCTCAGAGAATGAGAGAATCATGATGCCCACCTTTAAATACCCTTCTTCCAACTCTCTTCTGGGGCCACATACCTCTAATTTAACTTGTCATACTGCTAGCAGAATAAATTCAGTTAATTTGAATTTGAATTCGGACTGAGTCTTTAGTCTTTCCCAATAGATATAAACTCCATAACACAGGTGAGTAAGTAAGTGGTTGGGGGACTGGAGGTGGCTTAGTGGTTAAGAGCACTGACTGCTCTTCCAGAGCACCCGAGTTCAATTCCCAGCACCCACATGGCAGCTCACAACTGTCTGTAACTCAAGTTATGTGGCAAAACACCAATGTACATAAAAAAAAAAAAAAAAAAAACAAATACTTAAATAGTAAGTAAGTGGCTGTCTGAGAGCTTCATCTGGGACAGCTGGTGCCAGTCAAAGGCAGCCATGAGAGAGGTCTTGGCTATAAAGTGGGGCCTGAGGCCCTGCCACAGGCTTAGTAAGAAGTAAGGGGCAACAAGGCTGATCTGGGGTTCTGCTAGGGACCTACATGATGTAACTACGGGAGTCCAGGACATAGAGGGGCAGGACAGGCAGGAAGACCCCCTTGGACTAGAGGGTCTGGAGACAGATTGCTCATTTCCCTCAGCTCCACCATGGTTTGCATCCTGTCAAATTGTTTGCTCACATAGTTTTCTCATTCCAAAAGCAAACATGAAATTCCTGGATCATAGCAAGACCAAATGTCAAAGTTAAGCAGCCAGATATTGATTGAGACAAAGTGTCATCCCAAAGGACAGAAGCTGAACTCAGCTTAATTAGTTGTGTTGGTTTGAATAAGAATGGCTCCCACAGGCTCATAAATCTGAATGCTTAGTCATCAGGGAATGGGAATATTTGAAAAGCATTAGGAGGTGTGTCCTTGCTGGGGAAAATGTGTCACCGGAGGCGAGCTTTGACATTCCAAAGCCCAATCCAGGCACAGTATCCCTCTTCCTGCTGCCTGTGGATCTGGATGTAGAACTCTAAGCTACTTCTCTGCTCTGTGTCTGCCTGCACGCTGCCAGCTCCCAACCATGAAGGTAAAGGAATAAACTTGTGTAACTGTAAGCAAGCCCCAGTTAAATGTTTTCTAAGAGTTGCTATGGTCATGGTGTCTATTAACAGTAGCAGAACACTGATACATTAGTCAACAGTTGTTTCCCTATGTGAACAGGTGTAACACACACTATACTGATAAACTGACATGTGTTGTTTCAGTTCAATGATAAGCTGGTTCTGGTAGCAGTGGTGTTCCCCACATTTCAGACCCAAGCAGGATGATCTCAACATGTCCTTCTGCCATCTCATCGCAACAGGCAGGGGAGAAAACAGTAAAACAGACTAAAAGCAAAAACACTGTGTCCTTATAAAAGAGTTAAAAGGTAAACCACTTCTAACAGATGTCATTACTGTTTCTCCTATGATGAGAATAGCAGAAGTCGTAAGGCCAGCACCAGCACCGTTACTTGGCTAAGACCCAGCAAAGCGGACCCAGATGATGGCTGCCATGCCACGCCACCTGTGGCATACTTGGGAGAGCTTAATATTTGTGCAATGTGGGGATGTTGGGTAGATGGAAAACTTCCTATGAATCATTTCTGCCTTCCCCAGGAATGCTATCTCTAAGCTTCCCCAGGACAGTCCTGAGCACACTGTTCCCCTGATTTAGGGAGACATCCTTATCTACTTGAAGGTCTTCCTTAAGCCTTGCTGACTGTGACACACATAAAGAAGCAGGGGTCTCGGTGAGGCGATGAGACATTCTTGAAACATGTATGTCCCTGTACTTTGGAACAAGATAATGAAAACAAAATAAAGTTAAAAGGGTCAACAAGATTCAGCGGACTAGAGAAGTTGGCCACAGCTCAGATTGCAAGCCTCTTCCCATTATGCACTTAGGCAATTATGTGGCATATACAGCAACAAAGTTAGATTAACTGAAGTTATCTGTCCTACACAGAGACTTATACTGATGGGAAAAGTATGATGTAAAAAGATGATAAAAGTATTCTATAAAGACACAAAATATAAATATTGTATCATGCCAGAGTTTGAATAACTGCAGCAGCAGCTTTGGCCTGAGGATTTTTCCTAGGCACTCTGACCATTAAGAGTTAATAATACAATGCTTGGGACATGGCAGTATGCCCTGATGGTGTGAAGTGGGTATTTTTTGTTGCTGTTGTTAGTTTTTTGTTTTTTTTCTTTTTTGTCTAATGTCCTTGTAGCCACAAAAGCTATTAGCTTGAGAACAGGCTGTTATATGCCTCTAGATTCTTAAAAATTGGGTTACAGGGTTGATAAGTAAAAATGGTTATGAAAGGTAACTGTTTATCAAAACTTGAGGGGAAATGATTGGAAATGTTAACTCTGTTCTGTCATAGTTTATTAATGATGACTAAAAGAGCAGTAGGAAGTGAAACACATACCCAAAACAAAAATGATTATGATCTATGTTTTGGAACAACATGAATGTATCCCTGCTTACTAAATTCTACATAAATAAAGAAGCATTCTGACTGCTACTCAGCCAGG